AGAGCCAATCCCCAGGCCCAGACTGCTTGGGCTCACCACGTATTGGCTTTGCCACATACTAGCTGTGTGTATGACCTCAAGCAACTTACCTTACTTCTCTGTGCCTCAGTTTCATTATCAGTGAAATGGAGATAATGATAATATTTACTCCTCAGGGTTAAGTGCGTGGATACAGTGACAAGTAATGTTTATTTTTACTCGGTCACGCTATAAAACACAGAATCAAAACTTTTATTATCCAGTCCTATTTTTGCTCGATGTCATATAACACATTTTACAAATTTTCGCATTCTACGCCCACCCTCAAACAAAAACTGCAGTCACAAATTCGACCGTCTTCTTCAGTCCCTTTCCCCTCTCTAAGCCTGCCATTTTCTGTCTCCCAAATCATCCCAGTTTAGAATCACGCCGGGAAACAATGAATAAACAGAGAGCACCTGGTTAGTTTGTTTATAGTTCACACAGTCTAACCTAGTTCAGCGCCAGCGGCTGACTTGGGTGCCAGGGAAGGAAGGGCAAGACGGCGCGGGGACTAAGCAGAGCCTGGGCCAGAGGAAGCCACACCCAGCCCCTGACCTGGCCGGCACGAGCGACCGTGACCACTAGCTGCCGCCCCTCGGACATTCCAGCCTCCGGCCCTGAGTGTAGCGGCCGGAAGTGAGGCCCGCCCGGGGGCGGGGCAAAATGACTTAAAGAGGAGGCTGGGGCAGCCGACCAATCGGAAGCGACTGTCCCAGCGGGGAGGGCGGAAGAGGCGCGGTCTAGTTCCGGCCGCGGCCGCCGCCGCCGCCGCAGCAGCCATCTGTCACCTTACCTCCGGCAGCAGCCACAACCGGTCGCCCCTTCACCGCTTGTCTCCTCGGCGGAGGCTGTTTCCCGTCCTGCCACCTCTCTGCTTTGTTCTTGTCGCTGCCTTTTTCCCCCCAATGGACCTGGTCGGAGTGGCATCACCTGAGCCCAGGCCTGGGGCGGCCTGGGGACCCAGCAAGGTGAGTGGCGGTCGGGGCTGCCGTACCCGCCTTGGTCACCCGGACTGGTTCTCTTGGAAGGCGGGGAGAGGGCGACGCTGTAGGCGACTCGGTATGTTCAGGGCGGGACCTTTTCCTCGGAAAGGGGGAACCGGCCGCGGGGCTGCCGAGGTGGGAGTAGGAGGGCAGCTGGGGCTCCCGAGGGACACCCTGGGTAGTTTTGCACTTTGCTTTCTGAATCTCCGTAGCATATAGTTGAGCAGGACTGGCCTACAGAGGCTGACATTTGAGGGAAAACAAGCACGAACTGTTTTTCACGGGCCAAGTGAGTCAGCTCAATACACGGAAAGCCAGATAGAAAGTTGGTTTAGGAAGCTGTTTACTTAATTTGACAAGTGTCATTATACCAGTTCGGTAATTTCTTGTTTTTGAAATAATGAAAGATAAAATCCGGGCGCTCCATCGCTCTCCCAACGCTAATGTACACTACATACTGTAAAACGGTTATGAATTTTCATTATTTGTCTGGGCTTTAACGTTTAAATTTTTTTTCCTGGAGTGGCAAACCAAAAACATTTACTTCACATTTGGTTTCTGGTTTTCAGGCTGCTCGATTTCACGATACTTTCATTAGAAGAATGAAAAGACTTTTGTGCCACATTTTTGAAGGTTTACTTAACAGGCTTGTTTCCATTGGGATTTTGTGTTCCTTAAATTAAAGTTACGAAGGAATCCAGCTATTTTAGCTTCATAACTGTTCTTTGCATGCTAACGTAGAACTGTTGTGCATTTAAAAGGTCACCTGTTAGGGATGGCCCATGGCTCACTCGGGAGAGTGTGGAGCTGAAAACACCAAGGCCACAGGTTCGGATCCTTATATAGGGATGGCCCGTTAGCTCACTTGGGGGAGCGTGGTGCTGACAACCCAAGTCAAGGGTTAAGATCCCCTTAGCGGTAATCTTCAGAGAAAAATAAAATAAAATTAAATTAAAATAAAAGGTCACCTGCTAATCTTATTGTATCTTCAGGTTTGGTCTTAACAGGAAAAGTGTTAATTAATTAGCTATTAAGTAAAGAAAATTTGATTTTTTTGAGAGTTCTAATACAACTGTAGGAAGAATCTAAGCTATTACATCTACCTGTTATTTCATGTATTTTTTGTGTTAAGGCCTTGTTTACAAGATCAAGATCAGTAGATATAAAATGACAAAATGAGTAAACAGAGACTAATAAACATATACATGTTAAATATATCTACTTAAGCATCCACAAAGGCTGGTGAAAGTGTCAAATGAGACAAACTGTGCTCAGAATACATCCTGACTTTAGAACAAATTTCACTTACAAAACTAATTTAATAATAACATTTTATATCATTTTCATTTAAGTGTACATTATCAGAGCTATATAATCCCATTTTTGTCATTGAACAAAAAAAAAATTCCTGGTTTATAGAAGTTCTATCAAGAAGAAAGGGCTTTAACAGGCAAAAGAGAAGGAGGCCAAAAGTATAACTTAATCCTTTTCTTCTCTAGCCTCAGGGAAGACCGAAGCGATTACAAAAACGTCATGGAGGGTGTAGAGATTTGAGGAGGGTTTTGAAAAATGGGAAGAATGTTAAAGGCCAAAAATTCTCAAAACTTTTTAGTCAGGACCTCTTTATGCTCTTAAAAATCATTGAGGACCAAAGAACTTTTGTTTACATTGGTTATATCTATTGATATTTATCATATCAGAAATTAAAACTGAGAAATTGAAAATTAAGTCATTTAAAAGTTGTATGTTAACATAAATAACATATTTTTGTATTAAAATTTTTCAAAACAAAAAAAGTGAAGAGAATAGGATTGTTTGACACTTTTGCAAATCTCTTTAATGTGTGGCTTCTTTGAAGGGAGCTAAATTTTCATATCTCCTTTTTTCATTCAATCTGTTGTGATATGTTTTGGTTGAAGTATATGAAGAAAATCCAGTTTCACAGGTTTATAGATTATAGCAGGTGTAATTGAAGATGAGTGATAAGAGCATGATAGAAATACTGAGAGCAAATAGAGTTAATTTCTGAAACTGCACATTTACATCCTAACCTCCTACCTTAGAAAATTCCAGAAAACACAAGAATGAACAAGCGCAGATTCCATTAGCCAGCAGAGTGATGATACCATCACATGTTATGTAGATTCTGGAAAACTCCACTCCACACTCTTGAGAGAAGGAGAGTTAAAAAGACAAAAAATGTCTTAGTATCATTTTGAAATTTTTTGACCTTGTAGATCCCCTAAAAGGGTCTTGGGGACCCCTCTTCCAGGGACCCAGGGTGCCAGTTACAAAATGCAGAACTGCTATTATGGACAGTGAATTTTAGGGGATATTCCAAGAAGGGAGGATTTGCAAACTGTGAAGGCAAAAGTGAGGAAGTATGTAGCTGTGTTGGAAAAGGAGCTGTAAAAAGTGGAGTAGTGATACTTTTCAAAACTGTCATGGTCATCAAAAACAAGGAAAATCTGAGAAACTCACATCCAAGAGGAGCCTAAAGAGACATGACAACTAAATGTAATGTATCCTAGATGGGATTCTGGAATAGAAAAAGGACATTAGGGAAAAACTAAAGAAATCTGATTATGGATTTCAGTTAATAATAATAATAAGGTATCAATGCTGGTTCATTAACTGTAATAGATATATGATACTAATGCAAAATGTTAAGAGTAGGGGAGACTGGGTATGCGGTATTTGGGAGCTCTACTATCTTTGCAACTTTTTCTGTAAATATAAAACTATTCCAAAATTTAAAGTTTTTAAAAAATGGATTAGTGTTGTTTTATAGACCCAGGTCAGTTTTTCCAGAGACCTTTGTCTTGAGATGTAAAATTACTCACTTAAATATTCTGCACAGACTTTATCTTCTAGGTGCATGGTTAGAAAAGGGACATTACTGGTGGTTATGGTTCTCTTGACTTGCTTCAAGTAGAGGACTGAATTTTTGTTATTTATGTGCCTCTATCATGTTTGCTGTTTTTGATTTTACTCGATTCTTTCCCCATAGTTGTCTTCAATAAAACTTTTTAAAAAGTGGGACAGGAAGCTAGAGGCACATCTTTAGGAGCTGGAAGAAAAGGGGGGTGATTTCCCTCTAATCTGCAGCTAGCCAGATATGGGAAAATATGGTAGTAATGAAGACCCCCCCCCCCATGAACAGAGTTAGTGGTAGCAGTTTTGCAAAGGAAAGGACAATAGTGTGGGTCTTACAGTTCTTTAGCAAGAGGAAAGAAAGAAACAGGGAGCTGGTGATGGGCTTGATGGATGTCCTTTTAAGTAGAATAACTTACTGGGAAGGACTGAGTGAGGTTTCCCATCAGATCTAGATGCTATGGGGAGTTTATGTTGTTGGTGAACAGAATAGTGGGAAATGACTTTGGATAGGTAGGATAGAGCAAGATTATGGAGGGCTTCCCCCATCTCCTTAGGTTTATTATTATTATTTTAATATTTAGTAAAGTTTCTCTATTAACAAAGAGTGTTTGAAGAGTCACAAGATGACAGAGGATTCCCCTACATCTGCCCCATGGTGCCTGTTCATAGGAGAAGCCTCTAGTAAATTTTCTAAGCCCCCCTGAGATGTGAACTGATTGTGCCCATGAGGAAGGTCCAGGGGGTCTGCCCCCTGCCTGGAAGCTGTCCCTAACACAGCCTGGAAAATTTTTATGGAGGGCTTTTGATGGCTGGTTTGAAAAGTTTGGATTTGATTTCGAAGTATGGGAATTGGCAATCTTTCTGAAATCTTTACTTATTTACCTCACTCCGGAAAGTTGCCTCAGGGTGAGGTGGTCCAGCAGAGCTGGTCAACAGAGGTACAGGGAAATATAGCTCTGGAGTCTAAGGCTCTGAGGAGCAAGATCAGTAGGAGTGGCAGTTAAAGTGTCTTGGTGCTATTTGTGGTCTCTACATGTTTCCCTTGTGAGCCAGTCCATCTGGGAGTAGGTACATCTTTGCCTCAAGAGAACAAAGTTACTGACTATCATTTTTGCCTGTTCTGAGAAATTGTTAGCTAACACTTTATCCCTTAGCAGAATTAATTGACAGATGGAAAAAGACTGGAAAAAGACTAGAAACCTCAGAAATAGGTGGGTGAGATGGAGGAAAGGACATTAGCATAGTAGGGATGTAGAAAGGTACCAGACCTCTGCAGCCTATGGACAACCTGGCAGTTTCACTGAATATCTGCAGTGTTTCTTTTCAGCACATATTATTCAGTAAATACTTGAATGCTTCTTTATGTCTGAAACTTTATGCTGGGCTCTGAGGATGAGAAGACCCCCCCCTTCAAGGGGCTCCTGCTCTTTCATGGCTGATGCATTAACCCTAAGTAGTGATCAGTCTTATGCTAACAGTGTTTGCATAATATGGGAATACAAAGGAAGGGATCCAACTTAGCCTGATGACATTGTGTATGTACAGAGGAGTGATGTGTAGAGGAGATGATATTTAATTGGTGTAAATTAGAGAAGAGAGGAAAAACCAATGAGAGAGAGAAGCATGGGTGAAGGCAGGGAGTGAGGGATGCCATATTTGGCATGTGATTAGTGTTACTGATGTGTAGAATAGATGAGGGCTGAGACTAGAAGAATAAATTCAGGCACGTTGTGAGGGACATTCCTTGATGAGGCATTTGGATTTTATATCGCAGGCAGAAGCGCAGTTTGCTTCTCACATTCCAGGGTAAGGTCATTAGGGAAGCTGTATAGCAAAATGCCGAGAGTGCAGCCTCTTGAGTCCTACTGCCTTGGTTCAATTTTCAGCACTTCCATCTACAGTTTTTTATCTTGGCTTAAAAAAACTTTCTGTGTCTCAATTTCTAAATCTATAAAATGGGGATGATATTGCAACTACTCAGTTATTGTATAACTTAAATAATCTATGTCAGTTATGTATGTTTAGCCAAGTGACTTAAATATAATGAATGTTCATATGTTTTATGTTATGCTGTATTAGTCATTGCCAAATGTGATTGAGAATTCTGAGTTAGAGAATTCAGTCATCTGCCCTTTTGAACCTGGACTTTGAAACTGATCAGATGTAGCATTTCTAGGCTAGACAGCATTATATCTTCTACCTAGAAGATGAAGAAGGAAGTCAGCAGATTCATGTGCCAAAAGATTAGCTATGTTCTCCAGATTACAGACAGCTTCACAATTCTAGACCTCAAAATCCTCACCAGGAGAGTGCTCACTTGCTGATAATCTCTGAGTGAATGTGTCACATCAGACCTTCAGGAAGCCCCCTGTTCTCTCCAGGTCTGGCCTTATAGAAGGCTGGAACAATTCTGCAGTAGGCTAATGTAGGTATGTGGTAGGGGCCAGGTACATCTCCTCTATCTTAGGGTGAGACTAGATAAAACTGGATTCTGATTCACTCAGGCATAAATATACTTATCGTTTATCACCCTTAGGTGCTCTGCCCAAACAACCTGAGCCAAGTAAATACCTGAACCCCAGCACTATGAAACCTGAACGAGGGTCAGTTGTCCAGTTGTCTCTTGAGAGTCATGCCAATCAGCCCTTAGACCAGCTAAAGAGCCTGTACAGGCTAAACTTGATTAAATAATTTTGTGGCTAAAACTGGTATCATCATATGCTATAGAGTAAATTAGACACTAGGGTAGTTAAGGAATGAGTCTGAATGTTATCCTAAAGGCAGTGGGAAACAATAAAAGAGATTTATGTAAGGAAATGGAACCAATCAAATCTGCATCTTAAGAAAAACCATTTTGTTGTGGTGTGGAGAATGGAAAAAGTAAGACTGGGAGCAAAGATTAGTTAGGAGGGTCTTATAGTAACCCAGTGATGGGATACCTTAAAGTAGAATCATGGAAGGGGGTTGGAGAGAGATGGGCAAGTTCAAGAGATACTTAGACATCTTACTCAACATTAATGGTCTTAATCACTAGACTGTAAAATGTAATAATTTGCTGCTGCTAAGTAAAGCTTGTCCTCTCAAAAATTATGAATTGTGAAATAAACCTTCTATAGTTTATATTTCAAGAAGGCTGAGACAATGATGTCATTGAGGAAGCCCAGCTCGATCTCATAGGGTATTACTTTGCTGTAGCCATATTGTTTCAAGAGTCTGTTTCTCAGCTTCTAAAGTTCAGAAATATCATTTTTGTTGTTTGTTCTTTGTTGTCTTTGTTTTGGTATATCCCAAGATGTCTTGAGAGGGGCTGACACACACTTTGTACACTTGACTTAATGTTTAAATTAGAATGAGTTATAACTTCTCAGTGGGCTTTGAATTGTGCTAGTCGTTAGTCTATTCCCAAAAGAAAATCTACTTGGGAAGCCAAATTATTAGCAGAAGATTGCTAGGTGAGTAAGGAATTGGAGTTTCATGGGCTCATTGGCTAGTGGGGTGTAAAGCACAGTGCTTTTCAACTGTAGACATACCTACCTAGTAGGCTAGAAAGTGCTTTTGCCTGTTTTAGTTATATATTTATCTTTGATTAGATTTGGGTTGGGAAATATTTTTACTTTTTTTTTTTTTTTATTATTCCTTTTTGTCTTTTTTTACTGACCAGTAACGGGATCGCAACCCTCGGTGTCGCGCCCGTACCGGGGACCGGCAACGGGATCGCAACCCTTGGTGTTGCTTCTGCACCGCGCTCAGCCAGTGAGCGGGAACCGGTCTCCACATGGGATCCGAACCCTCGGCGGGAGCGCCACCGCGCTCCCAAGCGGCGCACTCTCCAGTGCGCCACCGGGCCAGCCCGATATTTTTACTTTTGAGATGACTTTTACATATAGCTAATCATTCATTGGGGTTTAAACTAGTTTAATTCTCAGAGGGTAACCTTATTTCCAATTTGGGAGGAACGTTGTTTCACTATTATGTATTGATCCGCATCTTTTTTTTAATAGTGTCCATGGGCTACCCCTCAAAATACAATATCATGTTCTTTGGCTGATGTAATGAGTGAACAGTTGGCTAAAGAACTGCAGTTAGAAGAAGAAGCTGCTGCATTTCCTGAAGTTTCGTAAGTGAAATTCACAAAGTATCTATTTTATCTAGCAGGTTATTATAGCAAAGTTTTAGGATTTGATTAGTGATCATCATGACAAGTGATTTAGAAATACGTTTAGAAAAGCAGTGCAGTAGCACCATATCGGGAGTCCACTGATATTTGGATTTTGGTCCTGATTCTGGGACTGGTTTTCAGTATTATCTTGGTCAAACCACTGTTTCTCTGGGTTGTAATTATTTCATGTTCATGCAACAGTTTTACTAGATGAGGGACAGTTTTGAGCAAGTGTTTGTAGTTTATCTTTTCATAAATATTTCTCTTTCCTTTGAGTAGAGCACAGAACAAATGAATTCTGGGTCTCAGTTTGGATTTTATTATAGACCTTCTTTTAGCTTTCTCTTGTAGCTCTCTCAGTCCCAGCTGGTGCTCTCACAAGTGCATGCCACTGGTCTCGAGGCTTGCTGGCCAGGAGAAGGTGAATGGTTTGGTAGTGTTCTTTCCCATTGTTCAGTACAATTTTAACACTGAAAAGACACATCCTACTGTCATAATTGGTAGGCTCTGTTTATACAAGCCAGTATATTAACTTATATTGCCTTATTTTAAATAGTGTTGCTGAAGGACCGTTTATTACTGGAGAAAACATCGACACTTCCAGCGACCTAATGCTGGCTCAGATGCTACAGATGGAATTTGACAGAGAATATGATGCACAGCTTAGGCGTGAAGAAAAAAAATTCAATGGAGATAGCAAAGGTACTATAACCTTTTTGTGACAACTCCATTAGGTGGTAGAAAATGCTTATACTGTGCTCCTAAATAAATCTTCAACTATTTTTGTTTTGTAAGTTTCCATTTCCTTTGAAAATTATCGAAAAGTGCATCCTTATGAAGACAGTGATAGCTCTGAAGACGAGGTTGACTGGCAGGATACTCGTGATGATCCCTACATACCAGGTATCCATGTTTTTATTTTTTCAGAGTGTAGAATGGATAGGAAGACTGATTTTTCCAGTGAACCCTTTTAGCTTTATATTTGTCTTTGAACCTCATGGGTAATTTACTCTTAGATTCAAATGTCTTTTCAGACAATGTTGAATGCAGCAATTTAGTCTTTGCTATTTTTATATATTTGGCTTGTCTTAATCGCCTTTAGCAAAACCAGTTCCTACTCCCAAAAAGGGTTTTATTGGAAAAGGAAAAGACATCACCACCAAACATGATGAAGTAGTATGTGGGAGAAAGAATACGGCAAGAATGGAAAATGTAAGTCACAGAAAGTATCTGTCTCTGAATTGAGAGTTTTATTTGAATAAGTTTTAAAAACAGGATTCTAAATACCATGTCTTAAGTTTTTAAAAATATCTTTCTTCCTTTCTGATGATGTTTTAGATGACAATATATCAATACCATGAAGATCCGGCCACTAATGAGAACATAAAGTACCCCAGAATAAAATTCTACAATGTTAAAAAGGCTAATTTGATATATATGATTCTAAAATTAAGGAATAGTTTTTTTTTTTTCCTTTTTGTCTTTTTTCGTGTCCGGCAATGGATCGCAACCCTCAGTGTTGCGCCCGTACCGGACTGGGACCGGCAACGGGATCGCAACCCTCGGTGCTGTGCCCGCACCTCGCTCAGCCAGTGAGCGGGAACCGGTCTGTATGTGGGATCCGAACCCTCGGCGGGAGCGCCACCGCGCTCCCAAGCGGCGCACTCTCCAGTGCGCCACCGGGCCAG